GCATGCCGAACTTCGATGATCTTGAACGTTCTTGCTTTTGATTCTCTTTTCTCCTCTTTTCTCATTTTCTTTTCTCTTCTCCCAAAACCCTAACATCTTTTCTAAAAGCGTAAAGTTAATAGGATCAGTTTAGACCCAACTTATTACAAAAAATTAAATAAAATAATTGGGTAAGAAAAAGATAACTTTGCCCTTCCCAAATTCGGATTTGACTATCCTTAATTTAACAACCCAATTTTTGAAAGGCATAACTCACTCGTACGAAATCGAAATCGCGCAAACTCGGCGGCGTTGGAAAGATATCTCCAAGGGCTTTCCAGCCATATCAAGAACTACTCTAACTCATCTTGAACTAGGAGTTATGGACATTTTAAGTTGACCAAAAAACTCATTTTTCCCCAACTTAGGAAAATTTCTAGATTTTATTTTTTTCAAAAACTGACTATTTCCACCTTTAAGCTTATTCCTAGCTATCTCAATTTATGGGATGTTACACGATGAAGGTCAAATTTTTATTCATGTTCTTTTGTAAGTAATTTTTCTTCTTATTCATTGTATTATTTTTCTAAATCTACCATCACCTCCCTCCACTTTTTACCAGAAAAATGGGTACTAAAACCCATATTTCATATTTATTCTCCTTGCCTTTGTTCCTCTCTCTCTCTCTCTTCTTTCCAATAAACAACACTAAAAAGAAAGAAGAAAAATAAGTATGAAAAAAGGAAAATACCCAAGTACAGAGACACACTTATACTATACTAAGATCCTATTACCCCCCTGAACTTATTTTATATGTAATTTTTTTTACCCCTTTTTAGCCTACGTGGCACTAGTTCGGAAAAAAAAGTCAACCATCATTGGGCCCACAAGATAGTGCCACATACGCTAAAAAGGAGTAAAAAGTTATTAATAAAATAAGTTCAGGGGGGTAATAGGACCTTAGTATAGTATAAGTGTGTCTCTGAGATTTCGGGCATAGGTTGAGGGGGTACTTGGGCATTATCCCTATGAAAAATAGTAAAAGGAAAGAATATTTTTTTAATAAGCACAAAAGAGATTTTGACTGTAATGAAAAAGAGATTTTTGTTAGAATAATATTTCTATCTTATTTACTAAATAGATTTTAAAATAATTTTTTAACTGAAAATAACACATGTAATCATTTAATTGATATTTGTCACATCATCAACGAGTGTATTACACTCTCTTTCAGTCTTTTGTTGGCTTAATACATAAATATGTCATTTAACTTGGCTCTAAATCACAACTATGTCCTTCAACTTTGGATTTGCACAAGTAGATACTTAAACTTGTTTAAAGGTGAAAAAAAGATACGCATGTCCTACATGTCATTTTTGTCCTATGTGATGTCCTACGTGTATAGCGCCATGTAGGACTCGTGTGTTTACTTGATCTATTTCATACAAGTTTAAGTGTCTTCTTGTGCATATCCAAATTGGAGGACATAAACGTAAAATGAGATCAAGTTAAAGGCACATTTATGTAATATGTCATTTTTTGTTTATCGTCAGAAAAATGTCAAAATAACATAACGGGACCCTAAATGAGGTGTCTAAAATGAACATCGCTTAGTTGAGGTATCTAAGTGAAACTTGTTGCAAAGTTTAGGAGGTCACCGATGGGTTTAGCCTTATTATTATTATTTGATGTTATATCGATATAACAACACCATAAATAGTAAAGTTAATTATATACAAATAATCAGAAAAGTTATTATTACACAACTAATTGATTAGAGTTAATATCTCAGATGGTTATTCAACTTTGACTAGTTTACTTTGAAAGTCACTCAACTTTGAGTAGTTTACTTAGAAAGTCACTCAATTTTGTTTCATCACTCAAAAGTCACTCAACTATTGATATTTCACTTAGAAAGTCACTCAACTAATGATTTATTACTTAAAAGTCATCCAATTAATTTAAATAATTTCTTCAAGGACTTCTGTTTAAATACAATTTCATTTTAAACTAATTAAAAAAAAAAGATGCGCAATTTAACTATTTATTGATTTTTTATTGAAATGTATATTTTTTAAAATAATAAAAGATCGCTAATGTGCATCTTTTACCCCTTTTTAGAAAAATAATTTTTTTCCTTCTGAAGAGATCAAACAAAGAAACTAAAAGGATCGAACAATCTCAGTGGTGAGCCGTTCACCTAAAAATTTCAAAAATGAATATCAACTCCTTGGTATATAAACTCTACATTGGGTGCTGCTCGAGGGAACTGCTTCATGTCGTCCATCATTTTCATCCCCCCGTGACTGAAATCTGCACTTGTCACAATACCTATTTTCTCAAATGCAGTTGCAATGACAATACATGCTTCAAAAATTCCATTCAAGTTTTCAGGAGACCGGAGTCCTTTGCCAACGTTATCATCAAACACTAGTTCAAAAAGTATTACCCACTTATACCTCCATTTTCACATAATTCCAAAGCAAGCATCCTAATATCTTCTCAAGAAGATCACAAGGCAAACTGCTAATCCTATCTACGACAGAGCTCTCTCCACTCTTATTAGTGGGCAATTGCGAATCGGGTGGTTAGCAGCTTTTAATTCTTTTCTATATATGTGAACTTCCAAAAAAGAGAAAATCAATATAACATTGTAAAGCATACATATATATATATATATATATATATATATATATATATATGTTTTAGAGTTAGAGAATTCAATAGAGAGTTGTAAAAGTACAGACATGATATTAACTTTTTTTCACAAACGGAAAATTCACCACTTTTGTAATACATATGACTATTTCACTCTGTCCCTAATGTAAAAGGCTTTGTTACTCACACAATGCAAAACAATAAAGGGGTTTAGACCATAGCTTGCGCCAAGGAAGAAGCTAATCAATCAGAATTCACAATTTCTATAAATTCTGTTTGCTACTTTTTTTCAAATACAAAAGCATATCAGCATCAAATAAGCTAGAAAGTCAACCTAAATTCTGTTGAAGAAATCAATTGGCATTAATATCAGAAAAATGGCCAGACTGGTTATCCATCGAGTTTCAAAATTTGTGTCACCGTTTGGATTTCCCATTTGCAGAGTTGAGTTCGAGTTTCGAAATTTGTGTCACCGTTGGGATTTCCCATTTACAGAATTGAGTTCAGAGGCTTACCCATAGCAGAGTCCGCTGAGAAAGTCCCAAAATTTTATAGGTTGGGACTTGGGCATCAGATAATTTCATATTGGGCTGATTTTAGTCCAATCAAACATAACCCAATTTTAAAGAAAAATTACCTAATTACACATCCTTTTTAGTCTGGGCTTAGATCTCGAGTATTGAATATCTAGTTTCAAATAAAGATTGGACTGAATCGCGAGTGACGCTCAGTTTGAGAAAGTAAAAAAAAGTTATAATTAATTGTCAGAAAAAAAAAAGCAGATGTATTAATGAAATCCAAAACTTTGATGTTGTGCAGCCTGAGGCTTTGGTAGACCAGATGTCATGGTCAAAAACAGAATATGAACAAAATTAGTTTAGCTTACATGGCAAGACCAGTAATACATCTAATATATTTCTCAATGATAGTAACAAAAGAGTTGGTTGTACTCTGCATATGGAGTTTCAAAGAGACAGGTTTAGCAGCTATGAGAAAAGTGGAGGAACTGTAGTAATGGGCAATGATGTAGCTTGTAAAATAGTTGGCACTCGTTATGTTCGGGTTTGCTTCCATGATCGAGTCATGAGGACTATTACACAAGTTGCCCGTGACTGTTAACATACAAATTCATTGTGTAACAGTAGGCTTATATATAGTTGACAACTTGAACAATAGAGATAGTAAAGGCGCAAACATGACCCTTTTCCGTTTAATAAATTCATACAAAATGTCTTAGGCAACACGGACAGGTAAACTCAAACTCATATGGAAAAAAACAAATACAACAAAAAAAGATAAACCCTCTCTTGTCACCATTACTGTCTCGATGCACAATTTGTAATATATACGAGATCAACGAACCTAATACTAAATCACTAATCAAGGTCATGGTGCTTCATTACTTCTAGGGGTTCATTTGGTCTAAGATCTTCTTCAACAACTTCTTCAAATATGAATTCAATATTAGGTGATGCTGGATGAAATTGCTTCATCTTATCCATCAGTTGTCTACCCGGCTGATGAAGGAAACATGAAAAATTCCAAAATAATTTTTTCTCAAGTGCACGTGCAGATTCTAATATAAGCCTCACAAATTCCATCTCTATCTCAAAACCACTAAACGTATTCATATGCACTCTCCGAAGCAGCTTCACAGAATCATACAAGCTTTGATGGTTTCGTAAGTATTGTTTTGATTATCATGTTATTTGTTTAACGACAATAATAGGTTCCATAACATCTTTCGTTTTTTCCAAAGAAAAAATTCAGGAAGTGGTCAAGCTTGATACAGAGGACAAATTTTTATCAACTTCCCTTTACGGAGGAGAGAGTACATACACATTCAATAGTCAGCTCTTGTAATTTGGGGCAGCTTGCAATCAAGTACACAGCACCTAAAACCTCCTCACTGTTTTCAAATAACATTCTCCGAATTCTGAGAGATTTGACGTTGCTTAAAACAGTCGAATTCCCTGACAGACTTCCCATTGTCAAATCCTAGAAGCATGTCAAAAATTAGTTCAAGATACATAATTTGGTTTTGAGAAGTACCAGACTTCAATTCACTAGACTATAATCCAATAAATATAATAACACAAATAATGTCCATTACCTTTAATGAAACACCTCTTATATCCAGTTCCATTAGGCAAGTCATGTAATAGAAGAAGTTTATAAGATTAGAACAAACAGGAGATAGATCTGTCTAAACTTGTGAATCGAGCCATATAGTAACTTCCTTAAGCATAGGGGCATTCTTGAAGCAAACGGACTTTGACTTCCCTCTAAATTCAAAGCATTTGAGATTAGCAGCATCAATTTCGAGGGTGTCAAAGTTTGTGCAGTAATTCAACTTCAATATTTCAAGAAATGGGCATTGAGAGATAAGATTCCTTAATACTGTCTGGAAGAAAAGTGACACAATGAAGACCAAGATTAACAAGCTTCTTAAACCCTTTGAAATCCGGTGGAGGGTGGAATAAGCAATTTTCAACTTCCAAAAGCCTTAGTTTCTCGAATGTAAAAAGGTTAGAAGGTAAATGATAATCGTTGTCTGATCTTACACGAATGGTGAGTTCCTCGACATTTTTCTTTGACAAGAAAAGTATCCAATGATCAATATCACGAAATCTTATCAAGTTAGACCCTCCAAGTCTAAACTTCAGTATTGGTCCTTTATGGAGTAAGAGTACTTGATAAATGATTGTTTTAGCTTCTTGAAAATGTGCAAACGACTCGAAAAAGTGATAATCAAACTCAAGCTCTTTACGTGTGGCCCATTTATACCTCCAATCTTTCGACAAGATACTACTCTTCGCTGCATCTTTCAAAGGCAAGCGCCCTAGAATTCCGTCCAGAATATCACGAGGCAAATTGTTGCTAATTGTATCTACATCACATCTCCTAGCACTCTTCATCATCCAGTACACACGAGTTACTGGTTTTTCTGAACGTTAAAATTCAGAAAGTTAACGAATAGTACTAAGCAAATGCCACTTTTCGACTTTCAAAGTATTCAACATTCTCATCATCATCAGAATCTCTATACAAAAATTAAGGGTGGGCATTCGGTAATTCGGTTCGATTTTGTTTTTTTTTTTGGTTCTTGGTTCTTGTACAACGTGTGCCGAACACCAAACCAAAATAATTCAGTTCGGTTCGGTTTATATTATTATTTCGGTTCGATTTTATTATTTCAATTTTTTCAACCGACCTGCTTAGTGGGCTTTTTAAAATTTAAAAATTTACAAATTCTTTGTTTGATTTTTCAACTTAATGGGCTAAAAAATTAGTTACATCAAAGAAGTGTCTTTTACTTTTTATTTTAAATTATAATAATTATTATTTAACATTAATAATTAATATAATATAAATATATGAATGGCTATATAGTAATTTATTTTTCTACCAACGAAATAACTTTTACAAGAAGATGAGAAAAAAAATTAATGTAATCATTAAGATAATCAAATTACTTTTTCCGTCTGGAATTGTTTGTCATGCTGCACTTTCGAAAGTCAATTTGTCTAATTTTCAAAGTTAAATTAGATCACATTAATTCGATATTTAAAAAAATAGATATTCTAAAACTATATGAAAAGTACTATAAATTGCAATTTTTTGTATATTAATATATGATGAAAAATTACATCTTAAAATGTTATTTAATTTTTTTATAGTTTGATTCTAAAATTAGAAATCATGACAAACAATTCCGGAAAAAAAGAATGAAAAAAAACATGTGTGGAACACATTAAATATATCCCCTAACTTTGCAAAAGGATCAAATATATCTACATAAATTTATAAAAAAATTCACTTTTCTTAGATGAAAAACAATAGTAAAGAAAATCAGGCATGACCAATTAACACGAACCAAGTACCAATGAAGTAAATAAGGAAATCAAGCAAGTATCAATAAGAAAAATTTATGTTTGATTATTTTATTTAGCTCGATTTTATTTAAATCATGAACATTTTGGATATGACTGGTCATATGGTTTAAAAAATGGATATTACGTGGATATATATAGTCATATAATTAAAAGTTTTTTTTTGAATATTACATAAATGTGAAATCACCGAGTCTCATGAATTAATTCCATTCACATCTATGTTAGACTGCTCTTTTGGATGTTAGTTAAAACTTACTAATGAGCAATAGCATTTACTAAATAAAAATGTTTTTAGTTCGATTAAATTATTTGATTTAATTTTATATAAATCGTGAACACTTTAAATATGACCAATCACATGAAAAAAAAAAATTGGATATTAGGTGGATATATATTGTTATTTGGTCAAATGTTCTTTTTGATATTACATAATGTGAAATCATCAAACTTCATGAATTAATTTTATTAAAATCTATGTTAGACTGTTATTTTAGATATTAATTGAAACTTACTTAATGAGCAATAGACATTTACTAAATAAAAATCTTTTTAAATTATGTATTCATGCTTAAATTCAATATCTTATATAATAGTCAACTTAGTTCTTTATGAAGGGTCTTCCTAATTGTAGTTTGATTTTCCAAAAACACCTTACATTCATGCCTATAAAAATAAATAAATTCATGATGCATCAAAAATTTTTGTTGATACTATATTTTCTTTTGAGTTATGATGGAGTACAAGGAGAGAGGATTTTGTCCAAATCAAAAGATGCGGAGTTAGAAAAACAACTAAAACTCTTAAACAAGCTAGCAATTAAAATTGTTCAGGTAATATTTTAATCTTTTTTATTTATTGTGCTCGTAAATCTCTTCAAGCATTATTATTTTTAATTGATAATATTGATTTCGAAGTGGATTTTTTTCTCACATAGTTTCTGGAAAAAAAATCTTACATTCTTTTCCTTTTTAGAATTGTTTGTTGATACTTGAAAATTGTCAACCCTCTACATTAAAGTACTTTTTACCTACACACAAACACCTAGTCAACTTTTCATGGTCAAATATTAGAGGGGTAAATTTCATAAATAAATAGTCATATAAGTATAACTATTGAGTTTTTTCCATCAAAATAGCTTAATTATTATGTGTTTTAACACATAAATCATAAAAAAGGTAAATTCTTGCTAACACAACGATCACATATAATCTCAATGTGTGATTTTTTTTTATATATTTATTTTTAGTTTAATAAATACGAACACAATTAAAACGACCCGGCCATAAAATTCAATTTTTTACCATCAAACAAAGTGTACTACTTTTTTTCCCTATATATATAGGAAAAAAGTAATAAAAGTTAATCTGTCAAATTATCTGGATTTGGCTTCTCTCTATTTTTTTTCTTTCATTTTCCCCAAATTCTTATTTAAATGAGAGACACATATCATAGATTTAAATCAATGGTTGAGATTTAATAAATTGTAGATAAGTTTTAACTATGATTAAGATAATTAATTACTTCCATATATTTGTTTTAAAAAAAAATTTAATCCCACAATTTTAGTTGTACATGATATCACTCCTAAATATATATTTTTTTAAATTCTTATTTTCCTTTAGTAAAAAAAAATGTTCAATGTTTAAAGAGAAGATAAATTAGGAACCTCTCACTTCAAAAATATATGTATTACATTACACATATGTAGCGATCAAATATTTGAAAAAATAAACTTTGATATAATAAAGAATAATTGAGTCCGAAGCCTAAAGGGTGAAAAATATTAACAAAAATTTTAAAACGGTATATGAATTTTTTTTTATCAAAATGGTGATATTGCTAATGAAGCAGTGATTTTGGTCGCCGAAATTTTGGAAAATCGCTGCTATAGCAACGATTTGTACATTTGCATTTTTTTTATAAAAAAAAATTAAAAACAAATCGCTGTACTAACAGCGATTTACATAATATTTTTAAAATTTTTTTTTAAAGGAAATCGGTGCAAAGGCAGCGATTTACCTAAATTTTCTAGTACAGCGATTTACGTAATTAATTTTAAAATTTCTTTTTAAGTAAATCGCTACACTTACAACAATTTACATAATATATATATATATATATATATATATATATATATATATATATATATATATATATATATATATATATATATATATAAGTACTATACATACACTAGTAGGTAGTAGTATATATATATATATATATATATATATATATATATATATATATATATACGAATCGCTGCTATAGCAGCGATTTTTCCAAACTGTTTGGTAAAAAAATATTTTTATATATCTTTTTAAAATTTTTATTAATATTTTTCACCCTTTAGGCTCCGAATTCAAGAATAATTGAAGATACATTCTTTAAGCCTTTAAAGCTGTATGATTGGGTCGCTTTTAAAGAAAAAAGAAAGAATAAATTTAGAGGCTAAAATTGTAGAATTAAAAAATATTTAAGAAATAAATATTTGAAAGTGATTAATTATCTTAATCATAGTTGATACTTATCTTTAATTTATTAAATCTTAATCATTAATTTAAATCTATGACGTGTGTTTATCTCATCCAAATAAAAATTAAGGAAAAATGAAGAGAAGTCGAATCAAAATTATCCCCTAAAAGTTGAGTTATAGTTTCTCAAAGACTACTTCAAAAAAATTAAAATTAATTTGTTATTATTATCACTCAAATCCTTTCAAATTTCTTATAGTAAGCCAAATCATATATGCATGAGCTAAACTTTATTGTTATTCCCCACTAGTTACTTACATTGATGTAGATAATAGTTTGAACAAAGGATTTGAACCGAAGTTTTTGTTTGCAGACTAAGTATGGGGATATATATGACTGTGTAGATTTCTACAAACAACATGCATTTGATCACCCGTTGTTGAAGGACCACAATTTTCATCCTAAGGTATATATTTACACTCTTTCCGTATTCCCTTCGTTTTATTAAACAAGAATAGGATATTGTTGACATATAATTGAACATTCGGTGGGACAGATGAAACCGGCTTTATCAAGTATAAAGAAAAATGCAAGTGACTCAACAAGTAGCTGGTCATTGACAATATGGTCAAAGGATGGAGGTTGTCCTTTTGGAACTGTTCCTGTTAAGAGAATTACGAAAGATGACATTTTAAGACAAAGGCATCTGCCGCCACCACCAGAAGATGTCACATTTGATGCTCAATTTGATGTAGTAAGATAATTTATGAACAACTTAGTGCTTTTACTTGAATAATTCATTACTTAAGAGTCCATGTATTATGTAGAATAAGAAAAATTGTTGATACACAAACATAAAAAGTTAGCAATAATCATCATGGAAAAACTCATATATTGCAATGTTATCTAATGCAGAGCAACAACAATAGTGGGCCAAAAGAAAGATACACATCTGGATATAAGGTACATTACATGACTATGAAGATTTTATCATACTTTTATCTTTCAGTTTCAATTTTCATTTGAAAAGTTTCTAATATGTTGATCTAATGTACTCTAAGAAAACAACATTTTTTAATCTTGTTAGTCTAATTTACAACAAGGGGCTTTCTTAGGTTTGGATATCTTATATGAGTTAATAAAATTATGTATTTATTATATTTAGGTTGCAATAGCGCGAACTCCATATGATGCAAATAACAAGTTTAAGGGCGCTGGCATGGTAACTAATTTTTACAATCCTGAAGTTAATGGTCGTCAACATAGTGCATGTCGACTAAAAATTCAACAAGGCTCAGAAATCTTACAAGTTGGTTGGAGAGTAAGTTTATCATGTCCATTTACATTTAATTGTTTCATTAGAATGAGATGTGATAATGATTAAATATTGTATCTCTAAGATGAAACTTATATCTTTTATTTTAGAAAAAATTAACCATTTTATCAGTAAACTTTTAATAATTGATTGTATATTTTAATGTATATATTTCGTACTTTAGGTAGACCCAACATTATACGGAGATACCAAAACTAGGTTATATATACATA